AAAAAATAATGTTGAAAAGAGATAAAAATAAAAATAGAAAACCACATAAACTTTTTATTTGGTGTAATTTTAATTGTTTTGACGAAAACTTAAAATGGAATATCTTGTTATAAAAAATAATTATTCTATTATAACTTAATAAATTACATAAATCGTTTTCTTGATTTTATCACCGTCAAACGTATTGCTTAAGGTTTACGCATGCAATTTGTTGTTTTTGATGAGTTTTGTATGTTTTCCTTGATCAGAGTAGTAAATATTCGATTTTGATCTTACATGAGTGATTGTACAAGTGATAGGTGAATTCTTTTGTTTTATGGAATCCAAATTTTGTGAATGTGATGATACTATATGTGATCACTAGCCAAATTGTTTTCTTGATGCTTATATTTTATCTACTATTTGATATTTAATCCATTTTAATTGATTGTGCGGTTGTTGGTAGTAGTTTTTTCTTCTTAGTATGGAATGCATATAGATTTGCTTCGATAATGGATTCTTGATGCTTATATTATATTTACCTTTTTCATATATCAATAGTTGATTATGTAATCATGAATTTTTGCAAATATATTTTTGCAAGTAGTAGTGGTTTGATGTAAGTTATACTTTGCACACCGTATTTGTTAACATTTATATTGATTATTTAGTAAAAAAAAAACACTAAATAGTTCACTGGGGGTAAATTGGTTATTTTAACCAGTTCTGTCTAGTCCTGTCATGTCTTACCAAATGTTGAACAGCTGTTCTGTTCTGTCCAGTCCTGTCTTGTCTGCGTACCAAACACACCCTATATGCTAGTTCGGCTAAAAGCTAGGGTACCACAAGAAATATTTGTTAAAGATAATATAAAAACTGGCAATATTCGTAATAGGTTATCCCAAAACATGCTTAGAGCACTAGCGACACAAAGGATGGGTTTCGAGCACACAAATACAGTGAACTAGGGCTCGAAAAATAGGCCCTGTATGGAGATCATTGAGAAGGACCCAAATACTTACTGCCGCCAACTCCCTAGCACCATTCACACCACCTCAGACGTTTTAAATGCCAAATACCTTCTCGCATACAACCAAGCTAACTCCTCAGAGGATGGTCCAGGGACGAATCTTCTCCCATCCAGATAGGAAGATAGGATGATGTGTTACAAGAAGGATGTGAGTTTATGCCCCGTTTAGAGCACTCGTAGACTTTACAAGACATATAATGTATAAAATTCTTCTACCATCATTTTAGTAATTACAAAAYAAATAGAAAYGAGACCTATACTGAAATCTATGCAACTTATGCAACAAATCTCAAAAGGGGATTTCAAGAAATTTTACAAGACATTTAAATGTTATTAAGAAGTAATGAAAAGAAGGCCGACTTTAATATATTATCTTTAATTCTTCATTATACTTATTGACCTCTCGTCTTAGAAAAGTAAGTTAAATACTTAGCTTTTTTTTTGGCAAATAAAATAGTAATTTTTATCTCAGAAGTTGATGATTAAAGTTGTCTAGTTGTTGGCAAAATATGATAACCACATTAATGTATTATAAAATATAAATCTATATAAGTTCTTCTGAAGAGTGATTAGTTGTCACTTGATGCATGGAAATGCTCAACACTTTGGTATATCCATAATTATTGAATGTGGGTTCCATTTGACATAGATCATATAATTTGTTCTATACAGAACATAAATAAATTTCATGGTCGTTGTGATAGTCATTTGTGAAACCAAGCTACATAGAAAAGGGAGGTCCTGAACTTCCTCTTTGTACAACATGTTCGAAATAACTACTAGTTCCAATTTCAAACAACCGGGACAAGCGACTCTGTTTCACAAGTTGTATTTATATGGTCAGTGATCTGTTTTCACAAAAAAAGTGTTTTTACTACACGGGATTGTGTGTTGATGTGACAAGCGAGATCAAATACGCCAAGCCGACAAGCCAGATCTACAAACATCTCTTCACTACAGGTGATTGTGAACCCATCCATTAGATGGTCATAACCAAACTCTTCCTCTGCTTGACGTAGTACGTCTTGAAATGATGGTTGGCATAACAAAGATACAGGGATCACATATCTCTTCTTTTCTTGCTTCTCTCCGAGATAAATTGCGAAATACCCTTTTGGTACCTCTGTAGTTGTTGGTGTATGGTTCCATTCGACAAAGATCGTCAGAGAACTTGATTTTCTTGAATGATTCGAGGCATACGAATAGCCATTTTCCAAATGTTGATAAAAGAGATAAAATAATCTGAATGTATTTTTTCTTAGTGAAAGATGTTGTAGTGGGTTTTGAGATGGAGTTATTAATTTTGGTGCTTTGCCTATTGTATGCTTTACATATTTGATTTATTGAAGCTTCAAATGTACGATTGGTGATAAAAAGGACATTAAATGGCAGACGGAGACGGTGAGACAAAATTACAAAATATCATGTGGCTGTGTCTTCTAACTTGCATGAAAGAACGACAATTCTTGTCATTACGACCAAGGCCATATCGCTAAATAGAATACAACAGGGTCGAAATAACTCTAAATTCTAATTTCATACAACTGGGACAGTGACTCTATCTCACAAGTTGTATATGGTTACTGATAATGCTTTACAAAAATGCGTCTTCACTACATAGGATTGTGAGCCGAGGCGATAAGCGTGATGAAAATACGCCAAGGCGATAATTCAAAACGTCACCATAGCACGACATTCGATGACGCTTAATTTTTAAAATTGTCACTTTGGCATAACATCCGTGATGTTCATAAAACAAAGTGTCACCACAACACAAAGTAAGTTGATGTTTATTAATTAAAATCGTCAGCTTCACATGACATATGGTGACATTTTCTTAGAAGTGTCACCATAACATGACTTACAGTGATGTGTATTATTCAAAACCATCCTCGTACCATGACATATGGTGACGTTTATTTTACAAAGCCGTCATCGTAGCATGACATATATCTTAGGATGACATACAATGAAGTTTATTATTCAAAATCATCACCACACATGCAAATGTTGTTGTTTATTTTTCAAAATTGTCATGGTAGCATGAATTACGATGACATTTTTTATTCCAAACTGTCGTCGAAGCATGACATATGATGATGTTTATTCTTTAAAATCATCATCACAGCATGACATGTGGTGAGACATTTATTATTTAAATCCGTCATTATAGCATGACATACAGTGACGTTTATTATTCAAAACCGTCACCGGAGTATGAAATACAATGATGTTTATTTTCGACACCGTCACCGTAATGTTTATTTTTCAAAATCATCACCGTAGAACGCAATATTCTGACGTTATTGAAAACCGTCACCATAAAATAACATATGGTGAAATTAAATTATCAAAACCATTATCTTAAGCGAACTTTTGGCGATGATTGTGTTTATCATTTAACTGTAAAATGAATATGAATTTAAAAACTCATAACATGAATCAAATGATTAACGTTACACATAAGAACATTAAAGTAATAATATACATTATATGAATAATGCACGAGAAAACCAATAACAAAAGTACTAGATACCTCAAACAAATGATCTAAGCTATTCTGCTCGTTCGCTTCGATCTCTTCAGCATAACATTAATGGTTGTATAATTGTTGTTTTGCTTCGTATATTTTTGCTTCTCGCCATTATAACAAAGAGGTATGCAAAACAAATTCTCCGACGATCATTGTCAAATGGAAGCAGCAATACATACATGGCCGTCCCTAAAGGTTATTTTGATGTTTATGTTGGGGAACAAGAGAAGAAGAGATTTGTGGTTCCAGTATCATTGTTAAGCCAACCTGCATTTCAAGAATTATTATATCAAACAGAGGAAGAATTTGGGTACAGCCATCCAATGGGTGGCCTCACCATTCCATGCAGCGAAGACATATTCACTGATCTTGCTTCTCGTTTGGGGGCATTATGACTTGTACATGGCAGTTTTAAATTTCTAGTTGGTTTTGTAAAGTACGAACAATAGGACCTTTAAAAGTTTGTAAGACTTGTGGAGACAATTGTCCCAGTTTTATGAAATTTGATTTAGGAATTACATATGACGATTGTGTTATGAGCTARGACATAAATGACACAATACAATCCAATTCTTATATCTGAATAAACTAAAAACCATAAACTAGAATTATGAAAAAAGTAAGGGGTAAAGAAATCGCCGCCTCCTTCTTTCTCGTCACCGCTTCCTTTCTCAACAAAGATGGTAATCTCTTCTCCCCCATGAAAAGTGAAGCCTGTAGGTTCTCAACAATGATGGTAATCTCTTCTCCCCCATGAAAAGTGATGCCCGTAGGTTCTCAACAACGATGGTAATCTCTTCTCCCCTATAAAAAATGAAGCCCATAGGTTCTCAACAACGTGTGGATCTCTAGCTTACATTGCCGCCCTCTACACCTATTTCCTCCTCCTAAACCGCTCTCCCTTTCTCATTACCTCCTACTACATCTCCACCATCTCAACCGGTTCTCTCGCCCGTTATGTAAAGATAAAAAAGCTCTGACCAATTGGAAATGTCAATCTCGAGATGTTCCTATTATCATCTTTCATTGATCTGTACATCATACTCAATTGGTTTTTCAAAGTTTTTGATTTAGAGTAAGGGTTTGATTTAAGATGGCTTTTGTATAACAATTTTATATATTTTGGTTGCTCGGTCCAAGAAGTGCTTTAGCTTAGTTTTTAAGATGTAATTTCAACTTAAAATAACATATGAATTGAAAAGATAACTTTGTAGACTCGAGGACTTTGATATATCATGGAAATCCCTATATAAATCAAGATAAGATTACAGACATAAAGAGAACTTATATGTCCAAAATGAAATGTAAGGGGTCAAGAATAGTATCAACACCATGGTCCCATGTCCTTTAAATGAAATGTGGCTATGTATCCTAACGAACATAAACT